TAAATAAATAAAGAAAGAAAGAAAGAAAGAAAGAAAGAAAGAAAGAAAGAAAGAAAGAAAGAAAGAAAGAAAGAAAGAAAGAAAGAAAGAAAGAAAGAAAGAAAGAAAGAAAGAAGTATATATTCTCCTGATGTAACTACCAGAACTGGCCACTAGAAGAAGCAAAAGACCGTGCTCTATCTATATATAGGGTTTGCTGTTATCCACAGGTTTCGGCATCCATGGAGGTGGGCTGGGACCACTCTCCCATTTTTACAGGTGGTCCTACTATATACTGTGCTTGGAAAAATCAAAGCCTGTCATTCAGAAGGCAAAGAGAAGATGGGGAAACCAGGAGACCTGGGGACAAAGGGGAGGTGCAGGCACACCAGTGTCAGGCATGGATTCTGAACTAACATGGTCTTACAGGCTCCTCCCATCAGGGCTTAATGGGTTTATGAGGATCCCCCTCTTTCCAGGCTAATATGTATTACTCTGCTTCCTTTTTTCATACAAACAGCTCTGCTGGAGGATCATCAGAGGCTGCCTTACACAGAGCAAGACTGTTGCTGGCTCTACCTAGTCCTGCCAGCTCTGGCCGGCAGCCACGTCTGCAGTATCTCCACCCAGTTGATAGTTCATGGCCTTAAACGGGCGCTTCATGGGATTTATCTCAAAATCTACTGTTGCTGGCTCTACCTAGTCCTGCCAGCCACGTCTGCAACATCTCCACCCAGTTGATAGTTCATGCCCTTTTCATGGCCTTAAACGGGCGCTTCATGGGATTTATCTCAAAATCTACAGGTGTTTCTCTCTCTCTCTCTCTCTCTCTCACACACACACACACACACACACACACACACACACACACAAAGCCGGAAGAGACCCGCATCTGCCCCACCAGATGTTCTGGAGACCCCCTACATTGTAGGGATCCCGTCCCATCAAGAGTGAAAGGATGACACATAGCAACAAGGTAAACTTCTTCCTTCTTCCAGATATTGCTGGACTGCAAAGCCCATCAGTCCCGGCCAACAGGGCCACTGGTGAGGGATGATGGAAGCTGTCGTCCAGCAACCCCTGGAGTGGTCCGTTGCTGTTTCCCGATCCCTGTTCCACCCCCCAGCGAGAAGCAGGAGGGCCAGAGCACAGCCACGCTGGCTAGAGAGGCTTCTGGTCGCTGCTTGGTCCAAAAACGGAGCTTTCCACCTGTTCCCCGCAGGTGCCCAGCAGATGTCTTTGGCCCCACCTGGCACGGGCCACGCCCTCCCGTCTGCCTTGGCCCCGCTCACCTTTCTTGATGGCGTGGACTTGGCTGATTGGGTTGCAGTTGTGGGTCGAGATGGCAAGGGCCGGCATGGGGATCTTGGGGGAGGACAGGACCCCCGGGGTGCCCACCGGGGAGTAGTTGAAGAGGGCCGTCCCGAAGGTCTGCCGCCGCCCCTCCCGGCGGTTGCTGTCGATGGCCGCCTGCAGCTCGCCGGGAGAGCTGAGCCCCCGCTTGTCGCACTCGTACGGGTAGAGGTATTTCATGTACCTGCAACGTGGAGAGACAGACAAACGGCCGTTGCAAGAGGAACCGCAGCCTCAGAATGGGACCGGCCTTTCTCTCTCTCTCTCTCGTTCTCGGAGGAACCCCTATTTCCTGAACCTATGGAGGGTGGGCCGACATCCAACAGGTGCTGCTCCCTCCTCTCTGGGTCAGGGAAGTTTCGCCTACTGAACCCCTGCCTGCTGTGCCACTGGTTCAAGTCACCAGGCCCCTCTTAGCAGAATCATGCCAACGCTATTGCAAAAGGGAGCCAAAAGGGTGGTCTTCACATACGGGACATTCCTCTTCCAAGCGACAATGCTCCACTATCTCCTCTTTTCCCAATAAAGGGGGGGGGAGGGCACCTGGGACATGCCCCAGTTCCTGTCCCTCCCCACCTAGGGCAGCCACATGTCCTCTTTTATACAGGACTGGCTGGAGAGCTCAGAGGTTGAGGTCTCTGGCTGCAGAGGGTTCGGGGTTCGACTCCTCCACTGTGCCTCCTAAGAGAAAAGCCAGCCTGGGTGGCCTTGGGCAAGCTGCACAGTCCCAATGTTGCCCCCTAGAGGAAGGGAAGGGTAATACACCTCTGAGGACTCTCTACCTAGAAAACCCCGGAAAGGGTCACCCTAAGTCAGAATTAACTTGATGGCACATTAATATTTTTATTCTCCCTTTGAAGGTGGAGTCTTCGGTCTGAAGGTCTACCCAATTCAAAGGTGATCCAAAGATCAAAAACCCTGCCGGGACCTCGATCATCGCCCATCATCCACAAAAAAGAAGCACCCAGCAGACGACTAACCAGCAGGCACCCCAAGTGAGTTGCCCACCGCCTTTCTCCCTCAGGGGAGAGGCCTTGTCTTGCCATTCTTTTACCCTATGAAAATCCTTTCTAGCTTCGCACGTGTACAACATTTGTTTTGTATACGAAATGTGCTGCAAAATCTCTGGCTCGTTTTGTCTCCTTTTGGGGTGATGCATCAGGGGGGACGCTTCGGTGCCTCCCAGGCCAAAGCCCGGGCCAGCCAAGACGAGCAGCCACTCACTGGGTGCGGAGGGTGAAGGCGGCGCTGGTGATGGAGGTGGGCAGGTTGAGCCCCTTGGTGATCTCCCGCCAGATCTTCTTGTTGATGACCTCCACCAGGCCCCCCTTCTCCGTGACCAGCCGGTAGAGGGTGTACAAGTCCAGCACCTGCTTGGCCATGATGGGGATCCGGTTGACCGGGGTCCCTACGGAGAGAAGACCAGAGGGGGGAAAATATGGAAGCAACGTCAAAGTCCAAGGCTGGCCAAAGTCACCTTTTCGGACCAGAATCCAACAGTCAAGATGTCATAGGGATCATTCTCGAAATGGCAGTCCAAAAAGTAACTTCACTAAGCCATAGCCACCATTCCCTAGTACGCCTCCTAATCGCCCCACCCCACCTCATGCAGTTTTTTTCCGATTCACCTACAAACGGACAGCTAGAAATTCAGCTGTGGGTCATGATTGGTGTGGCCCTCGAAGACGTTTAATCCTTGTTGAATCAAAATCGGCATGTCTTTATATAGTGACATATTTTACCTTTCTGTAAGACAATTAGGGCAGCTTAAAGCAACAACAGAACGGCACGATTGTGCTTTTTTTTAATCAATAGGAGCAGAAACAACCTTTCTTTAGGGGGAAAAAACACTCAAAAGACAGAAACAGGACAGAACTGCCTAAGGATTTGGCATCCGGTGTCAAAAGCTTGTTGAACTAAAACCCTTCTGAGGCCAGTGTGGAAAAGACGAACAAAAGGATCAAGTGGATTTTCAGTCTCAGGGGCTGAGACTGAAAATACCCCATCCTTCTGGGCCCCGTTTTGCTGGTTAGGGAGACCCAAAGCAGAATCTCTCAAGACAACCACATTTCCTGGAGGGGAAAAAAAACTCACAAGGAAGAAGCTGAGTTTGCAAAGTTATTAATATATATATTTTAAATGGTAGAATTCCCAGCCAGCCAGCAGCCATAATGGTTGGAGGCGCTTTCCAAAAAAAGCACATTTCTCGATGTCCAGGAAGGCTGTGGTTCCTGGATTGTTTTCATATCAAGTTATTTAAGGGGCTTAATGGTCAGGCCCAGCAAGGAAACTGGCATGTGATAAAGCTGGTGCAAACATCACTGGAACAACCCTTTAATGACTTCAACAGCATTGTGAAGCAACGGAGGCTTCCACGCTGTCTTCCAGAGGGGCTGCAAGCTGCAGTCACAGATGCCCAACGACACCCAGAAAGCCACAGGTTCAAATCCCCACACAGGATCATACTCCTTTTGTGACCCGGGGGTGATGCGCAGTCTCCCTGCATCAGCCTCTGTGAATATTCAGGGTCATCCCTGCAGGACCGATCTGGTGTCTGTGGCCGAGTGGAAGCTTGGTTGTGATCTCTCGGCAAGCTGAAACGGAGAGGCAGGAAAGGAGCGTGCCGCTCTTCCCCAAGACTAAAGGGCAGGATGCTGTACCGGGGGCAGGATTCATCCAGTTTTGGTTTCTTTCTCTTTCTGTTCTAAACGAGGAGACAATCTCTAGCCCTCCTCTCTGAAAACACCTCCTCCAACGCACAGAGGCAAATGCAAGCCAACGGCGGCCCCTGAGGAGCAGCTGAAGAAGGCGTGCAGGCAGGAGACACGCAACCCCCCCTCCACTCTTCTAACGGGCAAAACCAGAGCAAAGGATGTGCCCCACGAAAGACCCAAAACCTTTTGAGATCCAAAACTGTTGGAGAGCTTCTGTGGTTGAGCTTCTCTGGCTGCAGAGCCAGAGAGCTTGGGAATTCAATTCCCCCACTGGGCCTTCCTTGACAGGGGATGGACCAGATGATCCTCACGGGTCCCTTCCAGCTTGGCAGTTCTAAGTTGATGGTGGTGAGGATGATTAAAAGATCATGCAACTGTCCTTCACTGGTGCATGGGGCACATACAGTATATGGCAGAATCTATCTTTTCTTGGGACCTCTTCTTGGCTACCGTGCGTCCCAAGCATGCATAAAATCAAGCCATATAGTCTACTATACGACATTTATGAGCACCGTTCCTTTGGCAGGAAGAAGCGATTTCATGATGAAGGTTCAGTCCCTCCAGCAGAGGGAGACAAAATCGAAGGGAATGACCAAGGGGACAGGGCGGAATGAATCAGCACAGATTAAATTACTATATATTAAAATAAACAGGAAAGTAAAAACATGGATGATTAACTTTTGAGATCAACTGGCTTATGGAACGGGGCAGTTCCTTCTAAACAGCACTGAAAGCTAAACAGAAATCTATCAAGTCGTAAAGACCAGAGGGGAATTGTATCAAGGCATAAACAGCCACCGTTGGCCCATCTCTGACCAGATGTTTGCCTCACCCTCCCAGGAAGACACCCTCAAATCTCATGTTCTGTTTGGGCAATTCCAGCCTCACTTTTCTAGACATCTTTTGTGGACCTAAGCATGCACAAACACACACATGTGCACACACACACACACACACACACACACACATACATACACACACACACATGTGAGTGCACCCACCTATACCTCAAGCAGAAGAGAACAGATTGATACAACAGGAAGACACAAGCAACTCATTTAAGGCTTCTGCCTTTATGACAACCAACCATTATTGTATTTTTTTTCAATACCACAAAACTGAACGAAAAGCACAACGAACGCTCGTAAAAATGCACAAATTTCTCTACAAAATTAAAGCCCACCACCACACAGACAAAAAAAAAATCCATGATCTCCCAGCAGCACAATCTGAGAAGCAAAAAATTTCAGTTGCCTTCTTTACTACAGGAGAACTTATACCCTCAGGACTAACCAAGCCACGTCTCTTCTCTTTACCTCCAACTGTGCCTGCCACCCATTTATTTTATTTATTTATTTATTCTATTTATATCCCGCCTATCTGGTCAATATGGCCACTCTAGCCTTTCAGGAGAGATGCCACACTGCTCTAGCATTCACACTCCAGATCATTTATTGTTCCCCACTGGGTTGGATTCTGCTTTTAAGTATGCCCTGCTGTTAATAAGAAGCAGGTCAAGCCACTGATCTCTCCTTCCTGGGCTAACGGGCTCCAGTTACAGGCAGCCAGATTTGGGTTGAATATCAGGAAAAACTTCCTAAGTGTAAGAGTAGTACGGCCGTGGAACCTGTGACCTCAGGAGTTGGTGAGTGCTGGAAGCATCCGAGAAAAACTTAGACAACCCCTTGTCAGATCTGCTTTGATTGGGATTCGTGCCTTGAGCAGGGGGTTGGACTTGATGGCCTCGTAGGCCCCCTTCCCACTTCACTTTTCTATGATTCTATGACCGCCCCTGCTGGGAATGCTCCCCTGTTGTCCCCCTAAAGGTAAAGGTAAAGGTTCCCCTTGACAATTTTTTTTTTGTCCAGTCGTGTTCGACTCTAGGGGGCGGTGCTCATCCCCGTTTCCAGGCCATAGAGCCAGCGTTTTTGTCCGAAGACAATCTTCCGTGGTCACATGGCCAGTGCGACTTAGACACGGAACGCTGTTACCTTCCCACCAAAGTGGTCCCTATTTATCTACTTGCATTTGCATGCTTTCGAACCGCTAGGTTGGCAGGAGCTGGGACAAGCGAAGGGCGCTCACTTCGTCGCGTGGATTTGATCTTACGACTGCTTGGTCTTCTGACCCTGCAGCACAGGCTTCTGCGGTTTAGCCCGCAGCGCCACCACGTCCCACTACAAGGAATTAACTGGCTGGGCCTTTGTGATGAAACATCTGGGGCTTCGGAGGGCAAAGATGACAAAACTGGGGGCTTTTCAGCCCAAACCTAAGCAATCGCACAAGATGACGGGTTGGCCCACGGCTGGGCTGGTGGGCCGAAGCTCCACTGCCGTGCCAGGCACCGACTTTGGGACGGTGGCTCCCTATTAAATGACAAGCCTAAATGACAGCACTTTCCTCCAGCCCAGTCCATCTTGCCTGCACAGTTTGGAAATAGCACGCTACAAGGAACACAGCGCGCCCCTTCTTAACCAAGAGGCAAGCAGGCAACAGTCCAACAGCAATGCAGTGAGAGAAGTGGATAAAAGTTCCTTTACTGGTGCAGCAAGGAACACATTCTGGCTACTACGTATTTTCAATTACTCTTTTTAAAAACTCATTTTAAGATTTTGTGCGACCTTCTGAATGGATTCCCGCCTGCCCCAAAACATTTAAAGCATACTTTTATTCGTTCTAAGGCTGCAAAAGAGAAAATGATGACAAACAGTGGCTCCAATCCAGGAGTAAGTCACCACTAAAGGAGGCCCATTGAATCAGTGGACATTTGGTGACTCAATGCTTCTGTAAATTCTGCTGCTGCAGTGGGCCTACTCTAAGGGTGACTTACTCCTGGATTTCAGCCATGGTTATAATAAAAGGGAAATAAGCACTGCAACCATTGGTTTGGAGACACTATACTGTATAAAACAAGAAATGATACAAATTGCTTTTTTTAAAAGCAACTTTGCCAGCTTGGGTGATCTTTCTGGTGTGACAGTAGCGTATTTTTCTGGGGGATCTCTCTCTCTCACACACACACACACCCCTCTCAAACCACACCTCAAACTCCAAGCCTCATCCAAGCCTCCTCCAGCCCCCCAGTCCCCCTTCTTGAGGGTGAGCGGTGCGTGAGCACATACCCAGCATGCTCCTTGCCCGAGCGCCTGGCTCAACATCTAAACTGAAATCAATTCCAATAACCTGGCAACATCGACGACCCTTCGCAGCACGTCCGGGGCTAATTAACAGCCTCTCGGGTCGCCGGGAGAAGGCGCCCGCCACGCTGTGGCACCTGCTCCAGCCACCTGCTGCTTTGCTGCAAGAAGCCGAGGCTTGGGCGTGGGGTAAAGAGAGGGTGTCCCCATTGAGCCCCACAGAGCCAGGTACACCTAGAGCAAATGCAGAGAGCCCCACCCCACCCCTGCCTCGTGCAAGGGGAGCACAGCCTGACCCCTTAGCCGAGGGGCACCATCGCCACCGAGAAGAGTCCAGGCCACCGCCTCTTCTCCACGTGACCCATCCAGAGTAACTTTCCCCTGCATTGAAGGCTGAGAGATGAGGCTGCATGCACGACTCTCCTGCGGTGCGGGGCTGGAGATATGGGAAATGCCAGACCCACCCATGCACAAAGCAGTTTTGCAAATATAAGAGCATAGATTTTTCCCCCTTCTCTCTTGTAATCCGGAACCTACATCATTTAATCATGGAGATT